AGCAGAATTCTGGACACGTTGGAGCTTGTTGATGGATTTTTGTGTAAGGCCAAATAATAGTGAGTTACAGTAATCAATTCGAGAGATAACAAGATAACTCTCTATTGTCATTGCACAGTCATACCTAGTACAATAGTATGTCAGCACCAAGCACAACACAACTTTAAAGTGGCTTTTTTAAAAAAGTGCAAGAAGGGTATTAGCAAAAAAAGGAATGACTTAATAAAGAAATAAATGAAAGGATAATTGTCCAGGGAGGTCACCAGGTCAGGTCAGCTGTTAACACTGATATGCATAAAGTACATTTTGCAGCTCTGCACCTTCACATCACATCAGTTTCATTTACAAAGAGCCAAATCCCCAGAAACATTTGCCTCGAGGTGCCTCATACTGTCAGGTAAAGACCCTCTGATGTAAAGATCTTCACTGAAATCTAAACAGGAGTTTGTAGTATTTTTACATGACTGCATTTCTGTTTTTGCTGAAGTAAACGCTGCACGTTTGGACCTCTGTTGATGAGGCTCCATCGTGTCTGATGGCTCTCAGAGTATCCAGCAGGGCACGTTGCTCTGAGACTGCAGGCGTGTGGTTCATGAACTTTCTAAAAGTAGAAAGGGAAACTTTCCTTCTTTACCAAAGTTTACAGTTAGGCCTGACTGCTGCATGATGTTAACATTTGTTCTGTTTAATATTCAGTCTTTCTGTTTTCTCTTCTCTTTCCCGTCAACCTCAGCAAATCCTATTAGACGTCTCCCCTTCATGAGCCCGGTTCTGCCGGAGACGTCTTCCTGTTGAAAAGGCAGCTCTTCCTCCCCACAGTTGCTAAGTGTTTGCCCATCGTGCTTCTCTCACGATGAGACACATGTTTAACACACATTGATGTAAACATTTTGGTTTTAACAGCCTTATTGTTGATTTGTTTTTCTATATTTTACTGCGTCATTGTTATGCATTATTTATTTTAGTTGCATTTTACATTGTTAAGCACTTTGTGCAGCATGGACTGTTTGGAAATGTGCTCTATAAATAAATCAACTTGACTTCTCTTTAATATCTTGAGGTTTTTACTCTACAGAGCCTGGAGGTGACAGTTGCTGCAGGTCTAATTGCCTCTGCAGGTGTTTTTACTGGCGGAGTCTGAAACTTGCCAAATAGTTGTCCTTTAAGGGTTTTGTTTGAGAGGAGAGGAAAAGTGCTGTACTTGACCGTACAAGGATGGAGGCTCCCTTACTGTTATAACAGTTTACACAAAGTATTTGTTACTACAGGTGCGTTTGTTGGTCCTGTTGATTACAGGCAAAGAAGAAGAACCACCTGCTGGCACAACTACCTCGCCCTGAAGCTGAGGAGAAAGTGGAAACAGCTTAAAAGTGCAAAGCCACCAGCTGCTTCCTCCAAAAAGACCCTGACACAAGTACAAAAAGTAGCAGCTGATTCTAAATCATGATGGTTGTAATCACTCAGTCATTATGACACTCCAATACATCTGCTTTTGCAATTACTGGGTTGTAAAAACAGTCTGAATCTTACAGAACTGGACTGCAGCACTCAGCCGAGGAAGACGATGATCACGGCGAGCTTTAACTTTAATGTTACCATCCACACTGGATGGATCAGCTGTTTATCTACTAACTGGAAGCACAATGTTGTGGATGAATGTAAAAAGAACCACGTTCAGCTCAACAAGAATCAATCAAACAAGACTTTTTGGTGACCTTCAGAAGATTCAGATCCTGAATATTACTCTTTCCACCCGAGGAGAAACACCGTGGAAACCGAACAGGGATTTAATCACCGGGCAGTAAAACTGCTACAGGACGAAAAACTCTGCTTGAAGATCCACGGTCAGCTCCTTTTCAGCAGAAGCTCTGGGTCTATATGAATGTGACACCATGCTGTGGATATTTTATGAGCCTGTGCCATTTTCTGTGCTGTGGTCTGATAGGGCAGCTTATTCAGCAGCAGCGAGGAATCGCAGTCGTTAACCGGAGCGTCCGTCAGACTCCAGCAGCCCTACGTCCTTGAGTTGGATAAACAGTTAGGAAAATGGATCAATCGCTTAATTTTTTAAGTTGACTAAATACTAAAAAACAGCTTCTGATTTCAGTTTAAACATTGCTTTAAGCTTGATGTCGTTCCTGTTAAACAGTTTCCTGTAAATAGGAAAGCCTGGCGGAAGAAAGATGGTGTGGACGAAAGACTGGATGGTTTCATGATGGTTCGACTTTTAATTTTGGCCTAATTTTGCTTTGGGAATGAAACTTGAAGCGAGGATCAGGGGTTGGATTTCAGAAGGAAAAGTTTGATTTCTGACTGGATGAGAGAACAGAGAACACGCTGATGGTCTGTTTGAAGTTCGTCTAATCCACTGGACTAACAAATATGCTAAAAGGACTCCAAGCAGGTTCAAACGTGACACTAACAGATGCTGACCGAGCCTGTTAGCACTGACGCTAGCTAAGGTTAGCATCACACTTGAGAACCTTTACAAAAAGGCAATAAAGTGGCACCAGACAACAAAAGAGATGTTTGCACGTCAAGTTCTTATTTTAAGATTTTTTTTAAAAATAAAGTCTGTGTTTAACAAAAGCTTTTGATCAT